CACAATAGTGGGTAGAAAATTAGATTTCTTGATGGAATAATGGTGGTCTGGATAAGACAGAATTAGCTGTTGAGTAAGACTATGGTCTGTATTACTGCAATGGCAAATGGTCATACTGTACAAACTCAAATAGTTCATGTCTTATTGTAGTACACCAATATCAATCTTCTCTTCGTTGGTTTGCACCATTTGCAATATTTAATGGGTGGAGACACAAAAGGCCATGGAACTAAATTTACTTAATAATTACCACTAAATATCAGGTTATTCAATTCATCTTTGAGAAAAGAAAGGACCTTTAATGTAAATCATCTGATTTTTTCCCAGATTGATTTTCAAACTCTTTGATAACCGATTAAGAAGTGAGAATATCAGTATAGTTTGAGTTTAATGAGTTGAATCTGATTAGGCAAACAGATACTGGGTACAAGAGTAGGTCTGTGAAACCAGTGCAATGTTCAACCTTCAAATATCTGAAAGAAATGCATTGCACTATGTGGCAGACAATGATCTGCTCGGTTTCTTACAGCCCTGTTCCCATCCATCACCTTCAACCTATTAAATCAGTTGTCACCAAAGCCATATATAGACAATCTCTATATAGGGCTATGGCTGTCACCATCAGGAAGTACAGAGATAAGGAAGGGATGAGGAAGACTGGGTGAGAATGAAGAGATGTGGTATGAAAAAGGACAGATAGATGGAAGGAAGGAATGAGGAAAGACTGACAGAAGGGCTGAGGAAGGACAGAAGGAGGTAAAGAAAGAAGGATGCATTTTCCCTGACTTTCAACAAGTCCACCTAAAATGATAATGCACTGCAGTGGGATATGAAAGTCATTGGTTTCTAATACCCATTTTCCAATTGATTAGCCAATAAATAGTTGAAATGCCTATAGCTTAAAGGTTAATGGAATTGGTGGCAAATCAATGCCGTAAGAAAGTATTTATCGGATCCCTAAAAGAGAATTCTGCAACAATTAATGGCCAAAATTGGCATTGGATATTATTTTGTATGAATCAGAAGTAACAGATGCACAAGGGGACAAGAAAGATACGATACGTTCTAGAGGTTAGATGAGCACCACAGCTATACTCTCTCCTCATTTACGCAGAGGCTCAGTCATTCCAATTAGCCTGTAGCCTAGCTGTCCCGTTGTTAATGGAAAGGTTATATGGAATCCCTATGTAAAACATCTGTCAAGGAGCCACCCAATCAATTCTCCAATCACATCTCCTTAATCACATAAGCCTAGCTGGGATGAGTGCCATTTAGCAGGGAACACCTCTTAATAGGCCAGTCAGTCTAAATACATCAGACGAACAACATTGGAAACCCAACAACTAATGAATCTAGAGCATGAGGCCCAAGAAATGTGTGTGAAACACACATGCACGCATGCTCACACACACACAACATACACACACACACACACACTCTCTCTCTCTAGGTCACTGATGGACATTTGTTGCCATTGCTCAGACTGACAATGAAGATGCACAATGAGGCCAACCTCAAATACAGTGGGGAAAAAAAGTATTTAGTCAACTTCTTCTTTAAGAGGCTCCTCTGTCCTCCACTCGTTACCTGTATTAATGGCACCTGTTTGAACTTGTTATCAGTATAAAAGACACCTGTCCACAACCTCAAACAGTCACACTCCAAACTCCACTATGGCCAAGACCAAAGAGCTGTCAAAGGACACCAGAAACAAAATTGTAGACCTGCACCAGGCTAGGAAGACTGAATCTGCAATAGGTAAGCAGCTTGGTTTGAAGAAATCAACTGTGTGAGCAATTATTAGGAAATGGAAGACATACAAGACCACTGATAATCTCCCTCGATCTGGGGCTCCACGCAAGATCTCACCACGTGGGGTCAAAATGATCACAAGAACGGTGAGCAAAAATCCCAGAACCACACGGGGGGACCTAGTGAATGACCTGCAGAGAGCTGGGACCAAAGTAACAAAGCCTACCATCAGTAGCACACTACGCCGCCAGGGACTCAAATCCTGCAGTGCCAGACGTGTCCCCCTGCTTAAGCCAGTACATGTCCAGGCCCGTCTGAAGTTTGCTAGAGTGCATTTGGATGATCCAGAAGAGGATTGGGAGAATGTCATATGGTCAGATGAAACCAAAATAGAACTTTTTGGTAAAAACTCAACTCGTTGTGTTTGGAGGACAAAGAATGCTGAGTTGCATCCAAAGAACACCATACCTACTGTGAAGCATGGGTGTGGAAACATCATGCTTTGGGGCTGTTTTTCTGCAAAGGGACCAGGACGACTGATCCGTGTAAAGGAAAGAACGAATGGGGCCATGTATCGTGAGATTTTGAGTGAAAACCTCCTTCCATCAGCAAGGGCATTGAAGATGAAACGTGGCTGGGTCTTTCAGCATGATAATGATCCCAAAACACACCGCCCGGGCAACGAAGGAGTGGCTTCGTAAGAAGCATTTCAAGGTCCTGGAGTGGCCTAGCCAGTCTCCAGATCTCAACCCCATAGAAAATCTTTGGAGGGAGTTGAAAGTCTGTGTTGCCCAGCGACAGCCCCAAAACATCACTGCTCTAGAGGAGATCTGCATGGAGGAATGGGCCAAAATACCAGCAACAGTGTGTGAAAACCTTGTGAAGACTTACAGAAAAAGTTTGACCTGTGTCATTGCCAACAAACGGTATATAACAAAGTATTGAGAAACTTTTGTTATTGACCAAATACTTATTTTCCACCATAATTTGCAAATAAATTCATTAAAAATTCTACAATGTGATTTTCTGGATTTCTTTTCTCATTTTGTCTATCATAGTTGATGTGTACCTATGATGAAAATTACAGGCCTCTCTCATCTTTTTAAGTGGGAGAACTTGCACAATTGGTGGCTGACTAAATATTTTTTTCCCCACTGTAAGAGCAAAGTGTGAACCACAGACCCTACCGGTTCCCATTAAACACAAACAAACACACTCAGAATGGCACTGATAACAATGATGATGAACAATGCCCCTAATGGAGAGCATGAGGCCAACCTCGAACTAGAAAAGGACATTTCCTGAAGTAAATGTGTGTGCTTGCAAGTCTTGAAGTAAAAATGACACTTAGGCCCTAATGCACACAGTAGAAACAGAAACAGGTTAAGTTACAGAGTAGGCTACGAATGGCACATCTCCGAATGGCGCAACGCATTTATCCAAATACCTAGGTCTCTGGACAGGGTTGATCTTTACGATGTTTACATACGTTGTCTTTAAAGTATTGTAATCTTGTAATGAAAATAAAATGTGACATCGCTATCTTGTGACATTGAAGTTGTCTCCACCTCTATTTTGACGCCACACTAGCATAGCCGTGGGAAATAGGGGAGCTGAGGGTGCTGCAGCAGAATCTAAAAAAATCGGAATTAAAGAATATATATATATATATATATCAAAAAAGATATTCTCTTTTCACAAAAGTTGCACACTGGGCCTTTAATAGTCCTGTATTAGCAGACCGATCTAGCCGTCTGCAGCCCCCCCTATTATTATTCCAAACATTTGCATTCATATGTCACCTTCAAATAGAAAGTGTTCATAGGCGATAGCAAAAGCATCTGTACCAAAGCAGCCATGAGTACACCACTTTCTCAAAAGCATGAAGTCACCTTATATTCTGAACCACGATTTCAACCTTTTAATAAAATATTTGAAAGACCAAGAGTGAGATTGCTAAAAATGTCCATCTGGATCAGTAGATTCAATCACCCACCACACGGCTGACTCAGACAATGTCTGTGTATAGGGAGAAAAAACTCATTCCCCAATTTCATTATTTAATAAAAAGAGACAATAGCAGTAGCTTCAAAGAGGCTGAGTATGAGGGAGGCGGGAGGCGGGAGGCGGGGTGAAGGGAAGGGCTTCACTTTAAAACTCCCGAAAGGTCTCTGAACTCCCAAGGTTTCAATCCCCAAGTGAGTAAAAATCACATCTGAGGTGGGTGAGAGCCCATCAAAGCTGGCAGCCGCATCTGGTCAAAACGATTCCAATTTCTTCTGTGAAAACCCGTCCAAGTTTTCATAAGAAAAACAAATGTGAAAACATGAAAAAAAGTGTTTCTTGAGCAAAAATAATAATTTCCAGTACGCTTCAATTTTTGTTGTGCATGAGAATAATATTTACAAAGAATGTAAAATGTACAATGATTTCTGAAAACATTGGCAAAATATAAATATATATTTTTAAAGAGAGCAGTCCACTCCAAACACAGAAGGAAATGGTTAGTTACATTGTTGGAAATTGGAGAGAAAAAAAAGAGAATTATGGACCGGAAACCAAAATCTGTCATATCCTCTTATGTGTAGCTGTCTCTTCCATGTGTCATGGCTCAACCTGTAAATAAGAGAGGGTCGTTGCCAACTGACGCACACTTAAAATCTCCACCGCTGCAACCCATGTCTCTATTTTATAAACAGAAATGGACGGATATTAACAGAAATAACTCATGCTTGTAGCCAGTTGACTACTCCTAAAAAAGGCAAAAGTCTAACAACCGGAGGGCTTAAGTCAGCCAAAGTCTGTTGAGTCCATTGGATTAAATAGGCTTAAAGGCATACTTCGGGATTTTGACAATGAAGACCTTTATCTACTTCCCCAGTCAGATTAAATCATGGATACCATTTGTATGTCTCTGCATCCAGTATGAAGGAAGTTAGAAGTAGTTTTGCGAGCCAATGCCAACTAGCGTTAGTACAATGACTGGAAGTCTATGGAATCTACTAGCATGCTAGCAGTGACCTCCCGAATGGCGCAGTGGTCTAAGGCTGTGCCACTAGAGATCCTGGTTCGAATCCAGGCTCTGTCGTAGCCGGCCGCGACCGGGACACCCATGGGGCGGCGCACAATTGGCCCAGCGTCGTCCAGGGTAAGGGAGGGAATGGCCGGCAGGGATGTAGCTCAGTTGGTAGAGCATGGCGTTTGCAACGCCAGGGTTGTGGGTTCGATTCCCATGGGGGGCCAGTATGAAAAAAAAAAATGTATGCACTCACTAAGTGTAAGTCACTCTGGATAAGAGGTTGACTAAAATGTAGTTAGCAATTGCGAAATCCCAAAGTATCCCTTTAACAGGTGACTAAAACATTTTGTGCGTTCTGACCATGGGAGGTCCGTGTGGTCAAAACTCTGTCATTTTCTTGTGAGTATCGGCCTTCCTGTTATCCCTCTGGTCTGAGAGCTGCTGGGCCTTCTGCTGGACTAGCAGGCTGCGGGCTGCAGACAGCTTCTCCTCCAGGTGTGTCACCATGGCTGGATCTCTGAGGGGAGACACAAAGGAGACACAAAGTGGTTTAATTAGGAACTACTAAGACATGGTAAGGAGTTGCTTTAGAGAGACTTACACTATAGAAGTACATCTACAGAAGCAGAGTGGCTACAGAGGAAGACAACTGGAGGAGATCCTATAGAGGTCTAAGAGAGGGAGGACCTGCATTGGGATAATGGGGACCTGCTGTACAGTGTCTTCAGAAAGTATTCACACCCCTTGACTTTTTCCCACATCTTGTTGTGTTACAGCCTGAATTTAAAATGGATTAAATGTAGATTTTGTGTCACACAATACCTCAATGTCGAAGTGGAATTATGTTTTTAGACATTTTTACAAATTAATTAAAAATGAAAAGATGAAATGTCTTGAGTCAATAACTATTCAACCCCTGTGTTATGGCAAGCCTAAATAAGTTCAGGAGTAAACATTTGCTTAACAAGTCACATAATAAGTTGCATGGACTCTGTGTGCAATAATAGTGTTTAATATAATTGTTCAAGTTATTATATTACACTTTGGATGGTGTATCAATACACCCAGTCACTACAAAGATGCAGGTGTTCTTCGTAACTCAGTTGCCGGAGAGGAAGGAAACCGCTCAGGGATTTCACCATGAGGCCAATGGTGACTTTAAAACAGTTTTTTAAATGGCTGTGATAGGAGAAAACTGAGGATGGATCAACAAAATCGTAGTTACTCCACAATATTAACCTAATTGACAGAGGGAAAATGAAGCCTGTACACAATAAACATATTCCAACACATGCATCATGTTAGCAACAAGGCAATAAAGAAATACTGCAGAAAATGTGGCAAAGCAACTCACGTTTTGTCCTGAATACAAAGTGTTATGTTTGGGGAAAATCCAATACATTACTGAGTACCACTCTCCTTAGTGGTGGCTGCATCATGTTATGGGTATGCTTGTAATTGTTAAGGACTAGGTCGTTTTTCAGCATAAAAAGGAAACGGAATGGCGCTAGAGGAAAACCTGCTATTAGTCTGCTTTCTACCAGACACTGGGGGGTGAATTCCCCTTTCAGCAAGACAATAGCCTAAAACATAAAGCCAAATCTACACTGGAGTTGCTTACCAAGAAGACAGTGAATGTTCCTGAGTGGCCGAGTTACAGTTTTGACTTAAATCTACTTGAAAATCTATGGCAACACCTGAAAATGGTTGTCTAGCAATGATCAACAACCTTGACAGAGCTTGAAGAATTTTGAAAACAATAATGGGCAAATGTGGGATAATCCAGGTGTGGAGAGCGCTTAGAGACTTACCCAAAATAGATTTACCTCCTGTAGCTCAGTTGGTAGAGCATGGCGCTTGCAATGCCAGGATTGTGGGTTTGATTCCCACGGGGGGCCAGTATGAAAATGTATGCACTCACTAACTGTAAGTCACTCTGGATAAGAGCATCTGCTAAATGACTAAAATGTAAATGTACAAATTTACCCGAAAGAGACTCACAGCTGTAATCGCTGCAAAAGGTGCTTCTACAAAGTATTGACTCATGGGTGTGAATACTTATGTAAATTAGACATTTCTGTTTTCACTTTGCCATTATGGGGTATTGTGTCTAGATGGGTGAGAAAAATATAAATATTTAATTCATTTTGAATTCAGGCTGTAACAACAAAATGTGGAATAAGTGAAGGGGTATGAATACTTTCTGAAGGCAATGTATGTGACATGCTGCAAATTCTAAACCCATCTTTAGCCAGCAAAGATCCATCTAGCATCGACATGAGCGTAGGCTAAATTGTTTAGAAACAATACCGTCATTCAAATCTGATGGCTGGTAAAGTGCTTCTGTATGGCTGTTGGGCGTCCATCTTAAGGCATGATGTGAGTGAGGCAAGTTCCACAGTATCTTCCTTCCTTACCTCCCAGTCCGTCGGCTCAGGGACTCAGTGAGCCTCTGGATCTCCCTCTCAGTTTGGGCCACCCTCTCCATCGCCTGGAACAGCTTCACGTTCAGGCTCCTCTTGGTGCTCTTCCCCCCCTTGTAAGCCTCCACTCCGGCCCCTCAAGACAATGGAGGATGTGGGGGGGGGGGGGGGGCACCAGTACCCCCTGCCTTAGGGTTGACATCCCCGCTCCCCAGCTTGCGGTTCAGAAAGTCAAAGACGTTGTGCCGCCCCCCAGGGTTGCATGCCCGGGCCTTTCTGGTTCTCTTCTTGTGGCTCGACTGCTGCCCATCTTTGTTTTTGGCCACTTTGCTCTGGGTCTTCCTCCTGGTGAGCTCGGCACACTGGTCCAGGGATTTACCTTTGGGCAGAACCACCGCCAGCACTGGCTCCACCTGACCTTCAGATGTTTTCCCCAGACCTGTTGGGCACAGACGCATCTATGAGCTTGCTGAGAACAGCAAATTGTGGCCTGTATCTTGAAAAACGGTTAAACTGAAAGCCTACAATGGCCATTTGTGCAATGTGTTACAGTGGACTTCAGGGTGTCATAACTTGACATTACCACAGTAAAATTGCTTTATACTCAGTGTATGAGTCATATGGGACATGGCCTTAACGAATGCGTGAATGTGAACTTACCAGGGTTGGGGTCAATTCCATTTTAATTACAGACAATTCAGGAAGTACTCTGAAATTCCAATTCTCTTCAATGCTTTTCAATGGGGAAAATGTGGAGTTGGAATTTGGTTTCCTGTCTTAATTGAATGGAATTTAAATGGAATTGACCCCAACCTTGGAACAAGGCAATATGCTTTGTGTTACCATTGATTCGAGAGTAGTTTAACTTACATTTTTCATTACATTGTATAACAGTATATTATTGCATGCAACTATCTGCATTGTCTCCATGTTTGTTGAATAATAATCACTTGTGCTTACCTTTCCCATATTCATATCCCATTTTGAGCAAGAGCTTGGAGCCTATGCCTCGTGTGTGTGCCTCCCAGCCACCGAAGGCAGAATAACTACTTGACGGTGCCCAATCCTCCACTTGGGTCAAAACTGACAGGTCAAGGAAAAGACAAAATAAATACTTTAGCTACATGCAGCCGGGGCACGTGTACTAAGAAACAATCAGCCAAGCTAATGTGTAAGTTTCATGTTATCCCTTAATTGTTGTGGTTAGCGCAAGAGGAAAAACATTTGTCATTTACTTCCCACCATCTCAGCTCTATACGAACTCAGGTCATGAATCAATCAATAACATCCTCTATCCCTACATAAAACATTCTGTCTTTATCAACAAAGGTGGATGCATAACATTACATTGAAACCCTCAGAAATAAAGCTGGGTCTACACACTGTTTAATTAGAGGTACATACCTCTGGCGAACGCTGCCTCACCCTCTCCGATGTCATCGTCCTCTGAGTCAGAGGGCAGATAGTCTTCTCTCAGCGGTGGGATGACCCCATCGGCCTCCAACAGGGCTGAGTCGAACTTCACCGTGTAGAAGCCACTGTCGATATCTACACAGACAGAGGAGACCATTTTAATCACTTGCTGGTAAGAGGAACACAGTCCACTGAGCTATCAGCGGTAACCTGTTGATCTCGTCTACTTCAAAACATTGAGATGACACCCAATATGATCCAACAAATTCGTGACTCAATAGGCTACATTTCTAGTGGTGGGTAAATTGGGTGAGATTGAATGGGTTTGAGAAAAGCAATGCTTGTTATGCTGTTATGGTATGCTATGATGGAAAGTCAGTGACCCACCTGTTATTTTGGCCGGGTACCAGATGCCATCGTCTTGCCTGGCCATGCAGGAGGAGCCCTCTTGAAGGTTACTGAAGTCCAACTCCAGGAACGCTCTGAGCTCTGACACGTACACCACCTCACCATGGGAGAACCTACAACACGACAGGGGTCAGACCAGGGTTCTGACTGGGACAGTTTATAGTCAGTTCAAGGCAAAATACCATTGGGGAGAGTAACCCAAAGCGCTTCCAATTGAACTGAAAAGAATACACAAAAGACTGAATGAAAGCTCCTAACACCTAAAATGTTTTATGGTAATTAAAATGAAGAGAAAACAAAGTGAGTGTTGAGGAAAAATATGAGTCATTTTTAGATTGACATTAGATAGAATAAAAAAGAATGGTCCTTTATAATATGGAGTCTAAAAGGAGGCATGGGTAAGGCCAAAATGTCATAAATATGACAACTTTGATTAATTAGTTCTCAAAAATGCTTTTAGATACAAATATGTCACCAATCCTTCCTCCAAAAGGACCATTCTCTGGATTAGATTTCCTGAAAATCATGTTTGTTTCTCGTTTTTTTTCATGAGGAATAACCCACGTGTGTTCTGCTTTCCTCACAACCTTCCAAAAAAGATGGTTGTGATCATAGACACTACCTGCAGTTGTCTGCAAAGCGACAATTGTCCTCCAGGAAGAATGGGCAGGGCTTCATGGACTTCTGTGTGGGGTGGACGTACAGCACCCTCACCTGGGCCTCATCCCCTTTACAACTCTCTGTCCCCACGATCATTGCATTGTGGTACTCCAATGTCCCCCAAGAGGTGCAGTAGGGTGCCCGCACTTTGGTGCCACTTAGCGCTTCTACCTCTCCCTCATCTTCCCTCTCATTCTCCCTCTCTCTCGTGTCTGAGCTGCTTCCGGAAACCTCCCCTACTTCTGAGTAGAAGGCAGCAAACTCATTGTCCAAGCCGTCGTTGGCTGGTGTGCCTGTGGCTAGCGACTGGAGCCCGTCGGCCTCTTTGAGGGTGGCCAGTTGCCGGCTCTTCTTGACTGACACCAGGCTGGCTTCTGTGAGCTCTATCAGCTGACTGAGGTCCACTTTCAGTTTGAGCAGGTCGGCCTGCTGCGACGGGTCCAGGCCGGCCAACAGGGCAATCTCCACCTGCTGCAACTGGGTGCCGTAGGCCGCGATGGCAGACTCCAGGGTTCCTTCGTCCATACTGGCTTGGGTGAACAGTTGCCACTGGTCAACATCTAGCTAGCAGGGTCTCTGTGGAACAAGAAGAGCTAATTACTAGATGTGCGTGTCATGTGTCCCATCATTTACATTTTGAATAGTAGTTACGAAACGAGGCGATGTCTTCAAATTATGTAGACAACGCCACACAGATTTACATTGGAAAATCCTAAAATGTCCCCTATATTTAATACAATTATATGTAAACTTACTCTGCCGATTGTCTGTGGTGTTGGTCCCTCAGCTGGTCGAAATTTGAGAGAAAATACACAGTAAAGTATTATTAAACAGACTTCAAAACGCAGGTCTGTGTGGCAATCAAGATGTATTTTGCTCATGGCACGTGCACAAGACAGAAGTACAAGCATGCAAAACCATGCCAAAGATGATGGATATACTTACAGGATACATGTCTCTCTGACATAACAATGGGAGTAGTTGTCCCCAAAGCGGCACAGTGGCCTGTCAAGCTCCAGCCTATCCTTTCTTTGGATTGGTGGATCTCATTATTGTAATCCTTTAATTGAATATTTGATTAGGGTTGTTGACGTCAACCGCCTGTTTTCAATGGAGAGAGACGCTATGCTCCTAGGCTCATCATGAATATGCATAGTAATCTGGAGACAACTCCGAAATAAAGTGTTTTTTCTCAAAGTTGCCGGGATGTCAACTGTCCTACTTATATCAGTACACTCGTAACAACTTTAGCATTACGAAACTTCTATTAGATCAAATAAACCTCATGTAGCAAATAAATCATTCATTTTTTTGGTTAACCAAATTCGTTACTCTCTCATTGACCTCCAAAAAAAGGGTTTTGTGCAGGTTACAGAAATTGGAACATCGGTACCGGTGCTCTAAAAAGTCGGGTAAATAATAATTTCCGGATAATATTTTGTCTCAAATTTCGAGCAGCTGAAGGACCAACACCACAGACAATAGGCAGAGTAAGTTCAAATACCTATAATTTTATTCAACATTCCGGCCTGTAACCACATCCAGAATCAAACACTCATGTTCCAGACGGTGTATTTATAAATTCACCGTCTGGTCCCCAGTCAACATAAGTTAGCTACTGTACAGTAGGTGTATCTAGTCAGGATGTGCAGCCACTAACGTTAGTACTGATAGTTGGCTATGGCTAGAATAGTTATCATGTTTAGCTAGCTATAAAAGCAACATGACATGATCTCATCTAACGTTAACGTTACCATAGCAATTCAAAGACACTGACAAAGTCTGGAAGGATTCAATGAATTAGCCTCGTTAAGGTAAACTAACTAGTTACATTATCTAGCTAACGTTAACTATGTAGCTATAATATGCACGTTCAATGGTTAATGGCAAATCGTAAATTAGGAAACTAGCTATAACACTAATAATGCTTACCAGTAGGTGTTAGCTAGCTAAATTACACCGCTAACGTTAGTTTATTTACTCATAATCTAGTTATTTTGGTACCTATAGCTTAATTTATGCTAGCTGCATAGATAAGACATACAGGTAGCAAGCAAATTTACATTTACATAATTTAGCAGACGCTCTTATCCAGAGCGACTTACAAAATCACATCTTTATACTTTCTCTGATAATTTATTTTCCAAGTGGGAATCTCTGTCGGAACTGATCCTTCTACCACGAATTTACAAGACGGAAATGTACGTTACGTGTTGTTGGTGTTGTTGTTGTTGTTGTTGTTCTTCTGCTTCTTCTTCTTCTGGCTTTCCGGCAGACTAGACGCGGTGTTGCGTATTACTGCCCTTCGCAGGTTGGAGTGCAGATTGCACATTTTGGTCACAAAAAATAGAAATGGGGTCTCAGAGTATTTCGTATTATTCTTTACGTAAAAACAGGACACTCCATTTAGTATGAAATGTTACGTTTCGTATGGTATGTATTCATTTGTGAATGTCCGTCATCCATTGGGTATGATATGTTACTAATTGGTATGATATGTTACAAATTAGAAAAACATTCAATATGTTACAAATTTTGAAAATGTACAATATGTTACAAATGTGCAAAATATGTTACGAATTCTAACTTGTTGTGGCTAATGGTTAAGGTTACGTTAAAGGGTTAAGGTTAGGGTAGTTTATTTTTATTTTATTGTAATTTTTTTAGGGGGTAGATCAGCTTTAATATTGCAGATAGATTGTAGCTTCCATCAATGTAATTGTCTGCATCACTTCCAATCCTCCATATATTTTCTTGCAAATATATATACAGTACCAGTCAAAAGTTTGGACACACCTACTCATTCAAGGGTTTTTCTTAATTCTTACTATTTTCTACATTGTAGAATAGTAGTGAAGACATCAAAACTATATTATTAACACATATGGAATAATGTAGTAACCAAAAAAGTGTTAAACAAATCAAAATATATTTTATATTTCAGATTCTTCAAATAGCCACCATTTGCCTTGATGACAGCTTTGCACACTCTTGGCATTCTCTCAACCAGCTTCATGAGGTAGTCACCTGGAATGCATTTAAATTAACAGGTGTGCCTTCTTACAAGTTCATTTGTGGAATTTCTTTCCTTCTTAATGCGTTTGAGCCAATCAGTTGAGTTGTGACAAGGTAGGGGGGGGGGGGGGGGGGGGGGGGGGGGGTATACAGAAGATAGCCCTATTTGGTAATAGTCCATATTATGGCAAGAACAGCTCAAATAAGCAAAAAGAAACAACAGTCCATCATTACTTTAAGACATGAAGGTCAGTCGATATGGAACATTTCAAGAACTTTGAAGGTTTCTCAAATGCAGTCGCAAAAACCATCAAGCGCTATGATGAAACTGGCTCTCAGGAGGACCACCACAGGAAAGGAATCCCCAGAGTTACCTCTGCTGAGGATAAGTTCATTAGAGTTACCAGCCTCAGAAATTGCTGCCCAAATAAATGCTTCACAGAGTTCAAGTGACAGACACATCTCAACATCAACTGTTCAGAGGAGACTGTGTGAATCAGGCCTTCATCGTCGAATTGCTGCAAAGAAGCCACTACTAAAGGACACCAATAAGAAGAAGAGACGTGCTTGGGCCAAGAAACACAAGCAATGGACATTAGACCGGTGGAAATCTGTCCTTTGGTCTGATGAGTCCAAATTTGAGATTTTTGGTTCCAACCACCGTGTCTTTGTGAGACGCAGAGACATTATCAACAAGAAGATATTCAAAGAGGCTGTGTAAATCATGCAAGCTAAAGGCACCATAAACTACAATCTGGTTTCCACTTCCACTGCCTACAAATCAGCTACTAAATGTAACTGACTCAAAGATCAACACTCTGCATCATCACAAAATGTAAGTCTTTGAAAGTATCATTATGGAAGAAGAATTAAGAAGATTTGGTTGAAAGGATCAATATGTATTTTGCATAGGCTAAGAATACATTGTCTTTCATTTTTCTTTAGCTAATTTCTTACATCCATTTTCATGAAGATGAAGGCTGTATATTAAACAATCATGACCTCTTTCAAAACTTCTGTAACATAATGGAAAAGTGTAACTAATGTGTGTGATCAATCAACCATGAGAAAATGTTTGACTGTAAGAAAAAGGACTAAAAAGTAGTATCTCAGACTGTGTGATGCTTTCTTTGTCTCATTAGATGGAGACATGGAGTACAGTTTCTATGATTTGTCTGACATAAATGGTACAGTCAGAGATTGGCTTTCCAACTGTCCCTCATGAGGGGGAAGTACATTTCACCAACTTCAACTCAGGTCTAAATGCTTAATATGTTTCAGATGCTGCATACACCTGACCAGACACATTATGTCACTGAATGTGGACACATATTATCTGATTACAGGATGCAGGTGTGGTGGACACTGGACAGGGTCACACATGTTGGACATTACTGTTATTTATCATATCTATATTTAATGTATGAAACAAGAAAACGCACCATTGTGAAAGGAATGTCTATAGAATGGCTTTTGATAGATATCTCTAGCTCACTGTCTGTGTCCGCCCTCTAGTGTCAAGACTATGTTATGCCATTACACAGAAACAAATTACATCCTTTATAATGTAAAATACAAATTATTTCAGTTTTGGCCTTCATGAAAACATTAGGAAAGGCGTCTTCGCCAAAGGTAACCTACTACTTAGCTGTCATTAATCAATAGTCTCATGGTTTTTCCCCCGTGCAGGACAATTTAGTCTATGGAATTAGAAGGGAAATTTGTCAATGTCGATCCACAATAAAATACATGATAGAGAAGTTTGGAAGTTGACATGCCCTATCCCTACAATGACTGAGATATCCTGGTCCAGAAGTCCATTGAGTGGGGAATGGTGAAGGTATTTGCTGTCATGATGTAGATCAACACATTATTATTTAAGTGATAATGCCCGAGAAGCCCGTGTTTGCACAGACTGTGTCTTTTTCTAGAAGGAAGGTTGGGGAGGAAATGTACTTGTAATCTGGAGAGGATGGGAGGGTTTAGGTTCCTGGGGGTCTGGTTTGACACTTGAATGACATGGGTGGAGCATATTAATACAGTAGTTGTCAAAGGACAGAAGATATTGAATATGATGTGTTGCTTGTCAGGAATGGAGTGGGGGGCAGATAGAATGGCATTGAAAATTATATATATATATATATATATATATATATATATATATATATAGCGCTGTTAAGGTCATCACTGAATTATGGAAGTATAGAATATGGATCAGCAGCTCAGACATCTTTAAAAAAGCTAGATGTTATCCAGGCCCAAACCCTAAGAATATGTTGTGGAGCACTCAGGACCTCACCGGTTGCAGTGATGGAGGTAGAGTTGGGAGAGATGCCATTAAAGTTAAGAAGACAACAGCTAGCCATGACATATTGGGTAATTCTACAAGGACATACAGTGAGGGAAAAAAGTATTTGATCCCCTGCTGATTTTGTACGTTTGCCCACTGACAAAGAAATTATCAGTCTATAATTTTAATGGTAGGTTTATTTGAACAGTGAGAGACAAAATAACAACAAAAAAAATCCACAAAAACGCATATCAAAAATGTTATAAATTGATTTGC